CAGCCTTTATCTAGATGTATTTTTAATTACAACAAAAGGCAAATTTAGTGCATGAACAAATAACAATCGATTTCTAAAGTGCTTCATGAAATGGCAGAGTATAAAGGCAGTAGCATGCCCAAAACACTCGTTTTTGTATCGAATACCAAACGATCACTCTGTTTACACAACTGCCTCATCAGATGAAATCGTCCATCATCATTCCAATTGGGGTGATGCGGTATGTTTCGTAAGGGTAGGAATGATGTTTATATTATTCATAAAAACACCACTCATAGAATGTTATGAGATTATTTATTGGAAATTTATTAGATTACGTGCCAGTAAGTGGGCAGTAGACTATTTGTTTGTTCAGTTTGCAAAGCAAATACCAAGACCTTTTTAAGAGGATTGGCATAAGCAACAACATAGTCGCACATGATATGAAATAACCTACGAGGAAAGCAAATACCATTCGTGTTATCTTGGCAAATACATAGAGAAAAAACGGAGAGCAGAAATGATTTTTCACGCTGGCTACTTTTTTCAGCTGCTAGTAAAACAATGCAAGGACAGCATATTCTCTTTAAGCCGAGGGTGCCACAACCTTCCTACACATCATTCAGACTTACCTTAGAAATTCTTCTTTCTGTCTCTCTCGCTCTTTTACAGAGATCATTGTCAAATCTTCTTCACAAACAACAACCTCCTCAGCACGTTCAACTTTGCAAACTATTGGAAGATGGGATATAAGGGTACTCACCCCTCGAACGCTGACCTTACAATTCAAAATGACATGTAGTTTAGCTATCACAAAGCGGAAAAGAACCCAGCAGAGTCACGACTGATTAACGAGTAATTCGATTTTCAAGATTTCGTAACTCAGTAGAGCATGACCCTTATAGACGTGTTTCTTCTTTAGTAAAGAGCTGAGCTGATTTTCTCCTGATTTCTTGCAAACTTTTCTCAAGTGAGGTTGAAGCCGTCTGGGTCACGACTTAGCATCGATTTTCTGTTTGCAATTGCTCGTTAAGAGACTCCTATCCTTCAAGTACGCCAAAAGTTCTGATGATAAATTATTAAAAACTAATTAGAGTGTGTTTAAACAAATGACAAATGTGAACCAAGTTTATCCATAAACATATATAATTTCATTGTACATCACAAGGAAATGATCACACGCAGAAAAAAATACTCGTTTCATTTTAAGACAACGCTCTGTCTTTATGATCAATGAATGCTAGCGCTAATGAAAATTGGAACCAGTACTGAATGCAAAGGATTTCAAGTGAAATAAGATTAGCGATAAGATCCAAAATTAGAAATCACATATTTTTATCAAATGCAAACCACCCTTCGAGAACTCGATTTCCTTTGCGATCTTCAGGCTGATTCTTCAATTTTTGCAGCGGAATATAAAGCGTATACATTTTGTTATTATCCATTAGGCCACCGCAGTTCCACACAGATACTTCTAACACACGAGTGGAAAGCATGTGTTCTCCATCCGTTATATCATAATAAAGCTAAAACAAAATGATGCTGGAACGAATAACAAACGAAGACAAAGAAAGAGTGAAAATCATACCTCTTTATTGAATGTGGGATTTTGACTAGCTTTGACTACTTGCGTTTTTCGTTTCGTCAAATTTTGAGGATCAGGACGAATATAGGCCTTCATATATGAATCAGGAGCTTGGCCAGTGCTAAGTAATGCTAGATGCTTCACATGACCTGCAAATACAAATGTGCATGGATAAAATCTGGTGAATAGATGCAGAGGCGCCTCACCTACGAATATGCTTAACTGTGAGTGTGGCTTGCTGTCGTTGAACTGTATCTTCAAATACACTTCACACTGATTTCGATGCATATCGGTATGCACATCTTCATTGTCTAAAAAAATGACCGAATTTCTAAATTCGCTTGGAGATTTACAGATCACATACCAGTGTATGAGTCAATATCGCTGTCTCGCAGTATGAGATGGAAGAAAGTGTACACCAAGTCACACTGAAAAATACTGCTTTGGCATATCAAATTCAGATTTTTTGCCATTACATCAGGTTAAGGTATAACTAACAACCAGAAACTTTTTCCAACTTACATGACAAACTTCTGGGCTAAGCGAGAACAGATATCGAAGGAATGACTCCACATCGACCATTCGTCTTTGTGCTACATCTCGAACATTAGATCTCATTTTTGTACCCGGGCTAAGTGCCGGAAATGCGACAGTAGGAAACCTTAGACAAATGTTCGCATTAGTATACTCGTATTTTCAAGCCATAAATGATCCGGTTGGTTGGCTTCTGTTTTAATGGTTAGTTAGAAGAACACGACCGTGTTCTTCAGCAAATTCATCTGCTGAGTGAAATTACAATACAATGAAAGTAACCAATAAATTTTTCACTGTGATATACGACAATGAGGAGGAATTTCGCAACGAGATGAAAATTACCTTCGTCGCAGCTTGATGTACAGCTCATTGAACTCATTGAAAGATCTATAAACATATGCAGGCACTGTCTCAGATTCGCGAATCACTTCCACCTTGTATAGCTGGAAAAAACTGGATGAAAATGTGAAATGGAAATATAATTAATAAAAATAACACTCACATACACCTTATTGGGGAGAAATCGTTTTTCAAAGGATATCACGCGAACATGCCTGATCTTTCCATCAGTGACTTGCCTGGCAAAATTTAAAATAGCAATGATAACATTTGAGTACGGCTGGACCTACGTGTACAACTGTGGTACGAAACTGAGAACGGCATCGCTGGTTTTGGAAGAGTTTGCTGCACTGGAACTCATCACTTGAGCTAAGGTGTGAATAAAGAAGTTTATGCGAGGGAAGGCCGATTTGAGTGAGTGCTAAAAGGAGACAATCCTCAATCACAGATTAAAAAAAATGTTCAACCAAAAGCCTACATTTATCAATTGTGTGAACTGTATAACAGCATCAGTCTCGCTTAGCTCCAGCATCAGATTCTTTTCCACAAAGTTCAAAGATTCAATGTTCATGCCGGATATGTCCGAGCAGGCCATCTGAATAAGCACAGACATCAATCAGCACAATGTGGTTTCAACACTGTGAGAATATAAAAACTTACAATTTTAAGAAGATTGGTTAGAATGCTATAGTTTCGGCGTAGATAGTTGAAAGCTTTGCAGCAATAGTCTATGAACGTTTGGTAGCTCTCCCTTTGCTGATTGCCGCCATTAATTACAAAGTACATCTCATAGGTAAAAACAAAAGGTACACGATCCCTAAATGCTGGTATGTGAGAAGATGGGGACACTTGGATTTACCCATTCTAGAATTTATGATCAGCAATAAGCGCGCTCATAGTTTGCTTCTTGCCAAGAGCACATCAAAATTCTCTTTTTGATATAAATATTGAAGGAAAACCATATGGATGAGAACACGAGAGTCAGCAAAACATCAATTTAAGAAATGAGAAACGTACAGGATAGACGAAAAAATCATAAGACTTCAAAACATTAGGGCTGACGGCTTTTGTAGCAAGATATATCTCAATATGATACTGGTACCTTCTGAACCCAGCAGCTGTCTGCCAATCACCCATATATTTACCAAAGTCGATATGAAATACATGACCAGCAGTCGTTACAAGTATATTATCATTGTGACGATCACCAATTCCTAATACGTATGTTGCAACACACCAGCCGGCACATGATCGGGTGAAGTTGTCTAAAGCCTAAAGGGTGTACCAAGTGATAAAATCTCATTGCAGACGGATCACTACACAGACCTGCTTGTAAAGAAACTCGGTTGTGTTGTGCTTCATAAGCCAATTTCTCAGAACATCCTTGTTGAAAACACCAGTCATTCCAAACTCCTTCTGAATCTCGCAAAGCGTTGCACAATCCGATACCAACTCAGCCATTCCTAGAAAAAGTTCAGCATGAGCATGCATGATTTGACGACGATACTCAGAACTAGTGGAATACGATCATACTGGCGATAATCATTTCTAGATGATAATATACCCCCAAGTAATTCGGACAAATAGCATAAAACTACCTTTCCTGTATCCAACAGGCATGCAACGGAACGTAACCATCCGCAGATCAAGGTGCTCGCTTAACCAAATATCGTTCATAAAGGCCACCATTTGCAACACCAATGCATCCTGTCTCATGTCATCCCCAGTCTACAATCGCATAACTCACCTGAGTATAACAATAAAAAATGGGGAAGTATACCTTATGCATTATGGCATAGGTGGAATTTAGCCCGCGGAACACTATTTTCAGAGGCTTGGCATTTGAGTTGAAAATTTTACACTCTTTGATAACAACTCCACTACATCGAAATGAAGGAAGGCATGGAAGACGAGCATTGTGATGGAGTAGAGAACCATCTAACGCACCAAGACGAGAGCGAAGCAATGAGAGCTATAAACAAAGAAGCACGTGATCTAAAAACTGGCTTGAAGACAATAAATAAGCGGTACAATCATTAAGCATAAATTTCCTTTTAAGCGGTGTTCCAAACTGAGATCAAGAGTTTCGGAGACGAGAAGCCGTAACGGCATGACATGAAGAAAAAGAGCATATAGGTGCTCTGATATAACATACCCTTGTCTGCTCTGATTCTTCTCTTCGAAGATCCATTTGAATACAGTCCAGCTCATTGAGAAGCTTATGTTGTCTGGCAATCTCATCCCTAAGTAAAGTTGATGAGAGCAGGATGTGATATACTACGTACCAAATTATGAAACTTAACCGACAAAATTACGAATCGTGAAGCATTAGAAACTTATAATCAATTGAAAAGGGATTTACCTCAAATGATCCGCTTCATGTCGCTCAAGCAACTCCTTCTGCAGGAGAGTGCAACGCTGAGCATATGCGAGATCCATACAGTGGTCGATGCGCTGCTGTAGCTGCCTGAATTACTATTTCTTAGATTAATATAAACAAGAATGATGGGATCACGAATCATCACCAGTAGATTTCAAAAGCGAATCTTCTGTCCTTGTAAGAGAGCGTGAGAAGTGCCACGGCTAAAGAAGATGACTCGAAGATTTCAAAACGAAGAGCCTCGACCAGTTGCGGAAGGGCATTAAAAAGAAAGTCTGATGAAGCACAGAGAATCCATTCGATTGCCTTCTGCCTTATGCGCATATCCGGATACCTACAAATGGATCAAATAATTTGCAACTGTGTAAAAGGACCATTTAAGTAATATAGCAAGAAAACTTACTGTGGTAGCAATAGTTGCATAGCTTGAACAGGTGAAAGAGGTGCCCAGTCTTCAATAATTTGGTAGACATTGGATAGGAAATAATATCCCCAGTCCGTGACAGAGGATAGTACCTTAATCAAACGATTGGTACGCCTATGTCAAAAATAATTTGACAAACTCACCAAAGGTAAGGCTTCAGGCAAATGCATGAGATAAGAACGTTTTTGCCAAAGCATTTCAAGCTCGTCAGGTTTCAAACTAAAAATAGCGCTTACTGAAAAAAAAGAATAGAAGCACGTTTAAACTTTAAATTTACTTCTTGTTGTGAAATTTCATTGCGCATGACCAACTTACCTTTGCGGGTCTCCTGCTTCGACCAAACTCATCAAGTACTCCTGCGTTTCACAGTCCAGAGATGAAGGGTCCTGTTTTATACTGGAAAGGTAGACTAAAACTGAGCATAGGTTAGACATTGGAACAAACACACCTTTGATATTCCACCAAAACATCAGGGAAAACCACTTGGTACTCGTATGTTGGTAAAGTAACGATCAGAACAGGATCCTTTTCGTTGGCAATAAGAGGATGAGGACCCCAGGGTTTGAGTACGGGCTCCTTGAGCACCGTCAATGGCACGAAGACTTGTCCTTGACGCAACATCCTGAACAGACGACGAAGTACCGAGAGATTTAGCAAACAGAGAAGAATGAGCATAAGGAAATCTCACATCTCATGATCAAAAAGGGGCAACGATGCAAATGCTAGTGGACGGCGTGTATTGTCTGCGCTCCCGTCCGCACCTACGCTCGGTACAGATGAAAAGCCCGACAGTATAAACATTATTTTTGTTTCCCTTGGGCAGGTACACAACACATCTTCAAAGCACACCTAGAGATACAGTACTTAAAAT